TGCTGTACAGAATTCAGTCTTAGGTATCTCCTCAACTTCATAGAATTATAGACTAGTTTGAGTTGGCAGGGACCTCAAAGATCATCTAGTTCCAACCCTCTACCATGGACAGGGACACTTTATACTAGAGCAGGCTGCTCAGAGATCCATCCAGCCTGGCCTTGAACACTGCCACGGACGGGCCATCCACAGGTTCTCTGGGCAACCAGTTCCTCACCACCCTTACAGCAAAGAATGTTTGTCTAATACCTAATCTAAAGCTATGCTCTTTCTGTTTGAAGCCACTCTCTCTTGTCCTGTCACTACATGTGACTTGTCCTGTCACTACAAGTTTCCATCTGGAAGAATGGATTACTTATCTTGGTCAGTCTTCCCCCACAGCGTTTTCTCTGTTGTCGGCTAGCTCGAGAAATAAATGCATTTACCTGTACCCTCAATTTGATCTTTCCGTGCCATTCAGTGTATCTTTGTGAACAGTCCTGTAAAAATGCAAATTTACTGACCGTACCTCTAAGTGACACTAGAGAGAAGTTCCTTTAAATTCTGCTCTGCTGCCTGAAGCCCCTTCTCCTTCCATGTTTGTGTATTTTGTGCTCAGAGTGGTGTAATAAACTTGCATAGCAAATTAAATAAGTATTTTCTCTCTAACTCAAAATTCCACTGTGTCCTTTACCTTAACTCTTAATTCTCACCTAAATGATCTGTTCTGTTGTGTGTTGTCCTTCATCAGCTTTCTCGAGAGGCAACCATTATACAAGTTTCCCATCTCTGGCTTGGTTTTCTCTTAGAGGCTAAATGTGACATGTAAGTGGAAATGGATTTAGGAATGGAAATGTTTGGACCATGCAATTTCTTTTCACGCCTGTCTTCCTCCTCCACTCTCAAACTCATAAGATTTGCTTGTCAAGGTACCCTTCTACATCATACTACCATTTATTTCTGTAAGATGGCTGCAAACACTGCAGTGTTGGGAGAGCTCTGATGGCAGCCAGTTTTGCTAGACCAAACAATGTGCAGAGGGAAGTTTTTTCCAACATCTTTCAAAAATGTCTGAGGCTGATCTTCATGTATAGCAGCAATGGGTTTAGAATAACAACCCGAACTCCATTCAGTTGCAGGAAAGGTTGCTTGGGCCAGTGTTTTACAAGCCACCTTCTATGTCATGCTGCATGTGTTTGGGCTATCATGATAATATGGTTTGGTTTTGGTTTTGGGGGTTTTTTTGGTTTTTTTTGTTTTGTTTTGTTTTTTCTTTTTTTGTTTTTTGGGGGGGGTTTTGTGTGTGTGTGTTGTTTTTTGTTGTTGTTGGTGGGGTTTTTTTGGTTTTTTGTTTTTGGGGGGGGTTTGTGTGTGTGTGTTGTTTTTTTTTGTTGTTGGGGTGTTTTTGGTTTTTGGGGGTTTTTTTTGGTGTGTTGTTTAAGTGCTACAGTCCATTTATTTCAAATGTGTGGGGGAGGTGGGGGAAGATGTGAGATTATAAGATGGAGCATTGAGGAGGGATGCCAGGGTTTCAGCCTGGCAGCCATGGTTTCATTGTAATTTAACACAAGATTGCCATTCTATCTTCTGGCTGTATTTCCAACAAGAAAGATGAGAGAGAAACAGACAACAGTAAAATCCAGAGAAACACCACAAATCCATAGCAATTGTTTATATTGCTGTAATAGAGCATATTGTTAAAAGCATTAAATGGCATCATGAAGAGTTGTGGCTGTAGAAAGTTTTTTTAAGTTTGCTTTGATGTAAACAGTTTGCTGTACATTCTCAAAATTTACAAGCTTGGAAATATTTAATTAAAATTATTGTTATGGGTTATCTAGACCAATGTAATTTCTTTTTCATTGCTAAATAATGCTTTTAATATATTAAATTGAGCACACTACCTGCTCGGGTACTTTCCCAGTTAGCTTCTTCTAGATGTCTTGAGATGTTTAAGGAAAGTTTTCTTTTTTACTCTTATAGCAGCTGAGTAAAATCTGCATTGACATCAAAGACTGTCAGGAAAATGTTTACTGCTTTTTAGATCAATGACTAGCCAAGCTAATGGAAATTAGCTACAGCAAAACCCATTGAAGATTCAGTGCTTGTCTAAACTGTGTCTGTCATAAACTGTTCCTTTATACCTTATAAATGGCTAAGGGCTTTTATGGTCTATACTACATTTAACTTGCCTTGTTTAATGTGCAGCACTTCTGTAAAAGGTGATGTACTATATATGACAGTTTATTTTTTTAGTAACTCTATTTATTAAAACAAAAAAGGTAGCAGAGCTTTTTTAGTTATTTATATTGTTTTAGTTGTATTGCTTTGGGTTGTAAAACAGGCAAACTTTAGAAACTTAACAAGTCTGATCATTACCTTGATGGAAAATGCAGTTAAGCACCAACTGTCTGATGGGTTGCCCATGTCTAATTCTTTCTATTGTTTAGCAGAGGATTTTTACCTTTCTCAATTAAAACTGGTTTTCCTAAGAGTTGACAAGTAAGTTTGATAGACAAAGGGAGAGTGAAAGGTAGATCTGATGATAGAAAATGCCCTATTTGAGCTGTAGCTTAATTCGAGCTACCATGATCATAACTTGTCCTTATTTAAACTTTTTTGTTAACATGGATTTCATAGCAAGATTTGAAATGTTTTCTCTGTGTGCCTACACTTCCACGTTCTGAAAAGACATATGTTTTTCATGTGTGGGACCATACATTCAAACTAAGCCTTTCAGGGAGAGACAAACTTAAGCTGTCCTCTATGTGTGTGCATACAGAAGGAGAAGGCATTGGAAGTCCTTGGATAGCTTTGGAGATGTGAAGTACTAGAAAGGGAAAAAATTCTTTCACTAACTCAATTGTCTGTGTCTGTGAATATTTATATAATTTTTATATTCTCTACCTCTTCCTATCATGCCCTAGTTTTCATCCAGAATTTGCACAGAAAAATCTCAGTCTCTGTTTTCATACATGACTATTTTTCATAGCATTGTGTGGAAGATTGGCTGTTGCTCTATTGTACATACTGACTGATACAGAGCACCATCCTCAAACCTTATCTGTCCTCATTTTTGTGCTGACTCAGACTGACTCATATACTAGATATAGTTCTGACCAAGGGTAACGTTCAATTTCCCAGAGATTACTTTGCAGTAATATGTTGAAATTGTATTTCGATGCCTGTTACTGTCATTTATTTGAAGATTTATCTCTTTATAATCTAGCACTTGAAACATTTGTTTTGATGCTTACAGAAGGAGCAATTTAATTGTCTAGAAATGTATTTTTTGGTGTGTTTTGATCATGTGTTTATGTTGTTTCAGGTATCTGAGCATGAATTTTGGTCTGCCTGTAGCTATTAAAGATTAATTACCGCTTTTTTTGTTCTTCTTTTTTTTGTTTTGTTTTGTTTTTTGGTGCTGCAGTCACAAGACTTTGCTTTCTGCAACATCACCATTTAGGAGATGAAGGCTGAGCAGTCCCCGATACTTCCCTTATTTTCCATGCCCTGGAAAATGGTCATCACTTCACACAAAGCATTCACTGTTTTGTAAATTCAAGCACTATGTACAGAGACTTTCAGCCTGGGGCCATAATGTACAGGATGTTTTTCCTTGTGCCGTAATGAGACAATATTTCTTGGTGAAGTGCTGTAAATGTTCTTTAAATTTTCCTCTACCAACTGAATAATGGAGGAAGCTAAAACTCCCTCATCCTTCTTTTGCCATCTTCTTGCAGTCTCCATGCTGCACTCACACCTCAGGTGAAAATGCAAAATACAGATTCACAAAAATGTAAACTAGTATATGGTAGAGAGAGACCTCCTTTATTGGTATCATTAGGACAAAAGTACCAAAATCTGGATAATTACACTTCTTGAACATGAGCAGTAACATTTGCACTGAAAAGAAAATTTGAGATTGCCTGTATATGTGAAGCTTTTTTTAGAGGTATCTATTGTTAAGAGTAATTTGTTAAGAATCATTACTATAACCAGATCTAATCTGATTCTAGAATCTTTCAGTGTTGTCTTATTAAATCAGCCAGAGGATTAATGACTTCTGAAGTTGTTTGATGCTGTTTGCTGTCTACTGAAATGTTTTACTCTATATTGGATCCTACTGGAAGTATCACCCACCCTAGAACATTGCTACTGTTCACATCTGTCAGCAAAAATACATCAAGGAGCATGTTTTGTAAAATAAGAATTAATCCACTGAATGTATACAACTGTGTCCCATTCTGGGCTCCTCACACCAGGGACATGGACATGCTGGAGTGAGTCCAGCCAAAGGACTGATAGTAAAGGGACTGAAACCTCTGCTGTAAGAGTAGAAGCTGAGGGATCTGGGACTGTTCAGCCCGGAGGAGAGAAGGCTCGGGGGAATATTATCCATATGTATAAATACCCAACTACAGGCTTTTCTAAGTGGTATTCAGTGACAGGACAAATGGCAGGGGGCACAGACTGAAATCCAATTTAAACATAAAAAATACATTTAAACACAAAAAAAATCACTTTTATTGTGAGTAGTTGCCCAGCAAGGTTTGGCAGTCTTCTTCACTGGGGCAGGACAAAAGGCAGGGGGCACAGACTGAAATTCAATTTAAACATAAAAATACATTTAAACACAAAAAAATCACTTTTATTGTGAGTAGTTGCCCAGCAAGGTTTGGCAGTCTTCTTCACTGGGGGTATTCAAAACCCAAACAGATACAGACCTGAGCAGCCTTCTCTAGCTGACCCTGCTTTGATCTTTCTAAGTAACCTCCAGTGGTCACTTCCAGCCATAACTATGATTCAAGACTGCTTTTAATCAGGAAGCCTTACTCCAATTTGAATGGCATTGGTGAGAGGTTCTGTTAGATATTTAAGAAACCTTTGGGATCTGTTCCATAAGGATGTGAACTTCTGTCTAAAAGTTGTTTGTTGTAATGGCAATGTCTTTTTCTAATGCTGCTTGAAAATTTGCAGGGATTATTAACTTCATGTGCACCTTTTGTTTTGCCCCTCAGGAACGTTTCTTCTCGCCAAGATTTCGTCGTCGACTTCATGCTGTCCTAGCATCTGTTAGCACTTCAATGCTGATTTTATCAAATCTAATATTTCTTGGAGGAAATCAAGTTGGAAAAATCTACTGGAACAGGATCTTTATGGAAGGCAAGTTTATTTTTATGTGCTTTCTAGATAACAGAATGTTCCAATTGTTACCTTGGGTGGGCTGAGCCAGGTTTTTCCTCTCAGTGCACTAACTGGGAGTTAATTTTTTTCAGATCAAAACTATCAAAAATATGAGAAAATTCAAATAAATCTGCAGGCTGCATGACTACAAAGAAACATTGCTTTTTTTCCCATTCAAGCCTAGAAGGAGGGCTGTCAGGCTTCTCTGACAAAGAGAAATCACTGAAGATCAAGTAATAAATGTGTGACAAGTTACCAAGTTGAATTTTTTCCCCACTCTGCATTTCACACACATCACTAAGGATAGGTGTACTAAAGCCAACCCCATAGATTCTGTGGATGGTTAGTGGGTAAGATCTGCATAATACAGCATAACTGAGCAAGCATTAATGGCTGGTTTTTTGTAGTGAATGTGACTTCAGGCTGGGGACCTGCTGACTATTGAGGACAAGTGTGGGGACAGGGGAACTTGGGTGACAGTGTCAGCCTGTGGTGCTGCTGAATAAGCAGTATGGGACGTGTTCTGAGCTGACTCAGGAGACAGAGCGAGCTTTAAGTGTTTTGCTAGAGGTCAGTGTAAGTAGGACCAGTTTTCTTTTTACGTTCTTACTGCTGCCAGTCAAATTAAGATCTTGTAGAGGAATATTTCTTCCTCAAGAGGGAAGTACTAATAGGCTTCTGTGCCTAGCAGTGTTCTCTTAAAAAGACCACCACTGTCTATGGCAGTGTTTTCTCCTCTTGTTCCTTTCAATGGCTTAGAAATCAGCTCTGGAGTTCCAAGATCCTACTTAAGCATCTCAAAGTAGTGAAACTCTTAAAGAGTGAGTTATGTATATGAGTGGAACAATTTATCTTCTGAACTAAAGGAGAAAAACCATTCAAAGAGCTTGAAGAAAGGAACATTTTTACCATGAAGTATAGTGAAGCTTTATGTTAATACTGAGCAGCAAAGAGGGAGTACTAGATTTTGCTCTTTAAAGCATAAAATACTTGTTTTCTTTTTTTTGAAAGGCTTTGTTTTTTGTTTTCTCTTAAATTGTTTCCTTAGAATTAGTTGGCTAATAGTAGAAAATAAGCTGAAAGAAAAAGTTGAAAGTAAATTTGAACATCTCTTCTTAATTATTAAAAGAAAAAAAAGGATTAGTGAAGTTGTCTATCTCAGGCTTACAGCTCCATACAAATTAATTCCCTAATGCAATCTATATATTATATGAGAATATATATCAAGAAAGTATGCCTTCCTTGTTAGAAGGGCTAGTGGTTGTGTAGGGGTTTGCAACTGATGAAGGACAATGTTTTATCAAGTATAACAATATTTAATTCAAACAGAATCAATCAATTATTGATTGTTTTTCTAGGTTTGTTTTTTTTTTTTTTCTTGGGGGGGCTAATTCTTTGCTCTATTTCTCCTGCACTTGAATACATAGAGTTACTTAAGGATTAGGTACCAGTCATCTAAGAAAGGAATAAGAAATCAGTTTAGTCATTTGCATCTTTGTTTCCATGATGTTTTAATCAAATTAACTTTATTTTCAGAACATGAAAGCTTTTGCTTAGCCCAGCTCATACTCCACTAGTAGAAATCTCAGTGTTTAGCTTTGAGAGCTTTGTATGCCTCTATTATTTGATCACTCAGATGCCTGTGAGTATGTTGTTTAACTGCATTGTTGTTCTGACAACTCCCAAACTGAAACATCCACGAAAATTTTATTGCATCTACACACCTGATCCATTGTGGTTTTCTTACTGTGGAACAAATGGGGTGAACTCTGCTATCACTGCAGGCTGGGGGATGAACAGACCAAGAGCAGCTCTGCAGTGAGAGACTTGGGGGTGCTGGTGGATTAAAAGCTGGACGTGACCCAGCAATGTTCACTGGCAGCCCAGAAAGCCAAATGTGTTTTGGGCTACATCAAAAGGAGCCTGGGCAGCAGGCCAAGGAAGGGGATTCTGCCTCTCTGTTCCCCTGTGGTGAGACCCCTCCTGCAGTGCTGTGTCCAGCTCTGGGGTCCCCAGCACAGGGAGGACATGGACCTGTTGAAGCAAAAATGAGTAGAAGGATGGAGCACCTCTCCAGTGAGGAAAGGCTGAGAGAGTTGGGATTGTTCAGCCTGGAGAAGAGAAGGCTTCAGGGTGCCCTAACTGCAGCCTTCCAATACCTGAAGGGAGACTACAAGAAGGATGGAAAGGGACATTTTACAAGAAGCTGTAGTGACAGGACAAGGGGGAATGGCTTCAAACTGAAAGAGGGTAAGTTTAGATTAGGTACTGGGAAGAAATTCTTCCCTGTACAGAAGGCACTGGAACAGGTTGGTCAGAGAAGTTGTGGATGCCCCATCCCTGGAAGTGTCCAAAGTCAGGCCAGATGGATCTCTGAGCAACCTGGTGTAGTGGGAGAAGTCCCTGCCCATGGCAGGGGGCTGGACCTGGGTGGTTTTTAGGGTCCCTTCCAACCCAAGATATTCAATGATTCTAGGATTGAAGGCCGGTCAAATCCAGAAGAACTGTTCAAAACTTGGTATTCAGTTTCAACTGAATTTAGGTGCTGGTCTGTAAGAGAGACAACAAAAATCTATGTTTGGAGTGTGCAATGCTAAAAACTAAAGTTAAATAAATTTGTTTGTAGTCTGCACTGTTCTGGTGAATCCAACTCATCAATACTTATAGACTAAACTAAACACTACAAATATTTACTCTTTGATCATTCCTTTGTCAGCCCAAGAACAGATGAGATGATCTAGTTACTTGGCTTGAACTCAAGATTTTGTCTCCACCTTGATTAAAAATTCAGTGGGGATATGCTTGACTTGTTAGAACTAAGGATGGTGGTGGTGGGTGGGTGTTCTGTGAGGCAGAAGGGTATTTGTTTGGGTTTTTATATTTGCACTTCATTTCTGATGATGCAAGCAATATAAAGTTCCCAAGAATTAAGATTTTTTTTGTGCATTATGATTCTGGCGAGCTTTGATTAGAAAGATGTTGATATTCTGTCATTGACTTCTGGAGAATAGTCTAGAAATCTGGCAAAGGACCCCCAGAGCTCTTTTTTATGTAATACCCAAATCTGAGTCATTTCACTTGGTAGATAATGCAATGTTAAAATGTCCAGTACATTACTGAGATCTGCTAAATATGTATCTAGTTGCTTTCAATCAATACTTGTTAGCTTTGGTTAAGAAGAAAGAAGATATTCTGTAAATTTCAGGTTAAAATATTAGAAATAATATTCTCTATTTCAAAGCTTTTTGATCTCTTTGAGATTTACCTTGGCTTAGGAAAGCTAAGCAGGTTTTGCATCACTCTAAAACCAGAGAGTAGAACATTTCCACTGGGAGGACATCTCTACATTCTCAGGAACCTGCCAGCAGGACTTGAGATTTGTTGACTGAGGTGGCAGAATTTTCTTCAGTACTAGTGTCACATAAAATCCCTCTGAGGTCAGGAATAGAGAGATGTGGAAGCAGAACCTCCCACCTGTGCACTATTGGCTGCAAAGAGTAGTTGATTCCTTTACTTTGTTCAAATCCCACAGAATTGTGTCTATAAAGATCTGTACGTGTACAGGTAGGAAAAAAATAGGAGAACAGATGTGTGCTTCACAGTTTGTAAACGTAATTGGCATTTGTAGATCACTAAAAAGTAGACAAGAACATATATGCTAAAGTCCAGCAATAAAATGCATCTCAGAGCAGAAATCAGATCTGCAGGTTTAGGTGCAATATAAGAAGTTGTGTGTGGCATTTTCAGGTCTAGCAAGTAAATGAACCTCAGAATATCAGTATTGTAAGGCTCTAAATGCCCAGCCTACAGCACTTCATAGTTAGAAATTAGCAGTTCTGTTGTATAATACTGAAAAACAGAATACTGAGGAGTAGCTACCTGCTAGCATGTATGTGACAGTGATGCAAATTTAAACCAACATGCTCTTAAAAGAAAGTTTTACTGAAGCTTAAGGTGTGTGAAATGCACTTCTAGTCTTTCTCTTTGGTTACTGGAGAGGATTTACTCTGTTCTTTTGCAAAGACTGAGTATTGTCAAAAATCTTTACAGTTTTCAGAGAGTGGGGAAGAAAAGATATGGATATGAAAGCAATTAAATCTCAGGGCCAGCACAGTCAGTTCAATGAGAACCATGCAAGTGGGATACCTTTGTTATCAAAGATTTGTGAATTGCATTTTAGAACAGGATTTAGATTAAGTTTCCTGGGATTCTTATTTGTCTGATACTTGAACTGCTTTGAAGTGCTTTGGCAGTGCTTTCCACAGTTCCCATGCCACAAACAAGGGGAGTTGATATCTGAGCATGTATTCTTTAGTATTTGTTTCTTCTTGTGAAAAATAGGTTAAATTTGTCTGGCTTTAAAAAGAATTTTGTGCATCATCAAAATCACTGGTGTCAAAATTATGAGAGCAGAGGTCTGTGTGTCTTATGTGTATGAATATTTGTTCTACATTTTGTTCTGAAAATTCTCTCTGTTCTTTCTGTTCAGACCAGCCTTAGTGCTTGTTTCTAAAATGTAATTTGGCCCTGTTATTTGCAAAGAAAAAAGTTCCTATAGCAAGCATTTACTTTGATCTTTCTTTTGTAAGAATTTTCTCATGAGAGACAATGTCACAAATGTCTAGTAAGAAAGTAGGAGAAATATCTTCTACATAACAAACCATTTTTAATCCTGTATTCTCCATAATCAAGTAATGCTTCGCTTCAAAATGAGATGCTCCAACAAGAAGGGTTCTCTTTGGAAGGGCTCACTCCTGCAACCAGCACTGTGCAGTGCTTTTGGTTAAGAGACTGAAATATTTTATCAAGCATGGATCGGAGAGGACATAAGTGTATTGGGTGACAAAAGTCTAAAATTCTTCCTGGTCTTTTTCTGGTTTACAAGGAACAGAGTCCAGATCAATGAGGAAAGCACACAGTGCATTTCAGGTGTATTTTACTTTGAACAGCTGTCTGAAAATTGGACAGCCGTGATTTAA